AAAAAAAAAATTTTGAATTTTTGTGGCGGCCTTACTACGTTGATTAAATGAATTTGTCTTATCGCCTTTTTAAGACGCATAAATCGCCAGCTGATTATGCGTTGAATTTGGAGGCTTGGTCTAGTACAACTGCAGACGTACAGATTTCTTCAGTGGTTTTTAACGTTGGAATTCTGCTACTACTATCAGAAGCATATCAGAACGCCAAATTGGCAGTGCTACTAATCGAAAAAGAAGGGCAAAGCGCCTCTTTAAGCCTTTTAAGTGATCTAATACCACGCACCCTGTTTGATCATGTGAGATAATTAGTTAGTATTTTTAATTTGTTAGCCATATAGCTGCGTTTTCTGGCTTACGAAAACTTCATGAATCTTCCAAGAGTATCGTTCGACAGCATCAGCTCGCCAAAACATCGTTTACTATTTTTAAGATCAGTAATTTGTACCGTCGATTCGGTACCCTCTTTGCTAGGGATATCTTGGCCCATTGAGCCTGATCTGTTTGCTCCTGCCCTGAGAGAGTCATTTTCTACCATGTATGTACAATGCAAATCGTTTTCGCTTGTTGTTGGGTTCCATGTGTAAGCAACACAATGATACATGGTCCATGTGTTCCCAGCGAGATTAGCTAAAGCGAAATTATGTAAACCATTTATCTAAAAGATTTTGTAAGCCAGTTATTACTTATGTGATTCACTGCTTATAAGGACACTGGGAAATTCAAATATTTATTAGTCACTGTTCCGGGGAACAGTTTACAGAGCCTGGCTGAATAACCAATGTGGAAAGCGCTTTCTGACAGGTTGTGGGAAGCTTAGGCGATAGCCAAAGAAAAGTATTAAAACGTCAAGAAATCAGATCGATAAATTCAGCTTTTTGAAATGTAGAAGCACAGCCGCAGTGCCTACCTTGTAGCAGGCACCATGTCTCAGTTTCGGTACTGTTAACGGATCACGCTCATATCGTTGTCGCTCGAAACGTTTTGATTGTTCCTGCCACGCATTACTGCTTAATTTGCTTTGAGGATCAACGCGTAAATGCAAAGAACTGTCTGCGCCCACGATATTTTCCCAGATATCATCGAGCCGAGCACGAGCCATTTCGGCCACCGGCCAAGTCAGCACCAAACTGCCATCCGATTCCTAAACACAGTCAACACGAATGCATATATCAGCGGCTTCCTAGACGAGAAAAATGCTTATTACACATGGTTTCCACATTCAGGCGCAAGGGCTTGAAATGAGCTTCGCAACTCTCTTATCTCCTGTGATGGCAGGACCAAACTTAGATAAATACTTTTGCTGAAAAAGGAAGCGTCAAGAGATTACCATGGAGCTGCAAAGCCAGCTTTTGCACCTGTTCAAGTCAAGATCTCAGCAG